AAGAAGCATTTCCGTAATAATTTAATGGAAAAGAAAAGCAAGAAATATGCAATTGGAGGCAAATTCCTTGGGGGCATACTTGGTTGGTCCCGGAGGTTCCAAACATGGTTATATGAAGTAATAGTTCTCAAGGGGATATCACAAGGCCTAAACCACGTACATGTATATATATAAAAGTTATTTATAAACTAGTACATCAAAATTGCAATTGTGATACAGAAGTGAAAATTGTGTAAAAAGGTGTTCTCCATTGTATTTAAGACTTAAATTGTGAAAACCATGGATAACACATGGAGTTATTTTCAAGGTCACAAGGATCAAATATGTATAAAATCTTTAAACAACTTCTTCTGAATAACCAATATAATGATATCTGGCCTGTAACATGATGGTATGAAGGGGTACCAAGTTATCAGTAACAGGACATAACTTGAGTAACATGAGATAACAAAGTAACAGGACGGAAGAGTTATAATACCTCATATCTGAAATATCATCATAAAACACTTACAGTCTTAAATAATTTAGATGTGACTAATTGTATAATTTACTCAAGTGAATTAAATCATACATATCATAACCCAAGTACATACAATCTACTTGTCTGACAGACAAGTTGACAATAAAAGTCACATGTCTGTCAGCAAAATCTGCTCCTCAGGACGAGTGGACTAGTGCTTTTGCCGAGCCCTGAAGATACTTGCATGCATGTACATGTATATATCATCCTCGATACCCAGGAGTTACGGTCAATTTCGCTATCTGCACCCTTGGAATATGTCAAAGCAAAATTGAAGGCACGAAGATAGCTGTTTGATTGGACTCTGGTAAAAAACCTGACCAATCGCTAGGCTGATACCTGTCCTTTGATGATTACAAAGGAGAGACGCCCGACCTCAAAGCCAGTCAATTTGTACTGTTACTTGACTGCGAGATTCTTTTGATTTATATCAAAGGATTATATACTAGTCTTCTTGTCTCATCCACAAAGTGGCACACATTGAGCCTTCAATTTTGCTATGACATATTCCAGGGGTGTAGAGAGCGAAAGTGAGCGTAACACCTGGAAATCGAGGATGATTTATATATAAAAATAATTCATAAACTAGTACATCACAATTGCAATTGTAATACAGAAGTGAAAGTTGTGTAAAAAGGTGTTCTCCTCGTATTTAGGACTTAAATTGTGAAAACCATGGATAACACTTCAATTTTTTTTTCAAAACAAATGCAGAAAATTGATTTTCAGCCTAAGAATTGACCCTCACAGATAGGAATGTTTCTCCCAAAACATCTCTTAAATTAAACATCACTTTCATGCTGGAACTTGATGTCCACTGTGTAGGTGTGTAGGATGTGTGTAGGACACTGTGCTCAAAACTGTACAAGGTCTACAGAGGATTGGCTCAAAACTGTACAAGGTCTACAGAGGATGGGCTCAAAACTGTACAAGGTCCACAGAGGATGGGCTCAAAACTGTACAAGGTCAAAAGAGGATTGGCTCAAAACTGTACAAGGTGTACAGAGGTTGGCTCAAAACTGTACAAAGTTCACAGAGGATTGGCTCAAAACTGTACAAGGTGTACAGAGGATTGGCTCAAAACTGTACAAAGTTCACAGAGGATTGGCTCAAAACTGTACAAGGTCTGCAGAGGATTGGTTCAAAACTGTACAAGGTCTACAGAGGATTGGCTCAAAACTGTACAAGGTCTACAGAGGATTGGATCAAAACTGTACAAGGTCTAATGAGGATTGGCTCAAAACTGTACAAGGTCTACAGAGGATTGGCTCAAAACTGTACAAGGTCTACAGAGGATTGGCTCAAAACTGTACAAGGTCTGCGGAGGATTAGCTCAAAACTGTACAAGGTCTACAGAGGATTGGCTCAAAACTGTACAAGTTCCACAGAGGATTGGTTCAAAACTGCACAAGGTCTACAGAGGATTGGCTCAAAACTGTACAAGGTCTACAGAGGATTGGCTCAAAACTGTACGAGGTCTACAGAAGATTGGCTCATAACTGAGCATGGGCCTGTCATAGATTAACACACAACTGATAATTCCTTGAGCTTTGTCCTTTGGCAAGTTTCTGGATACATATACATTTTTTTATCTTCAGCGAATTTCCAGAAGGTTGAAGACAAACACCATGAACAGCTCTCAAACAAAACATCTTTTTTTTTACACCCAGCATTTTCTTATTGCCTTTTTAACTGGTTTAACCTTTAATTTATTGAATAAAAATCAGTTTCTTTGTCTGAAACACATTTTCCAGGTGTAATTGTAGTATAAAAAAAATCGGTTAATAGTTATCAGAATTGGAATAGCACGAGTGAAAGAGATTTGTTGGTTTTAAATGTTAACTCTCCATTTCTTACTTTTCCTGAATTCTGTTCTGAAGTTATATAACACTATTCAAGCTTTCTTGTCAGGGATTGCCAGACAGGTGATTATATTTGGAGTAGTTACAAAAGGTTTGGTGTAAAAGATGTAAGTTTTGTGTTTCTAATGAAAAATGATTTTGATGTCGAGAGACCATTCACCCCTAAAAACACATTTGAACTTTACCAAATCAAAGACTGGGCAAGTCCAGTTTAGATATATGTGAATGAGTTAAAAAGAGTACTGCCAGATTTTTAAACGAAGCACTGTTGTAATTGAAGTTTGCTGTGTTGGGAATTTGTCATGAAGGAAACACTTAAGTGAAGAATAAAAAGTCTGTGTAAAATAATGTTTTGATAATGATCAATTAACTGATAAGGTCGAGCATACTTCTGCTTGTTTCTGAATCGTTTATTATACCACAGGATTGTCTGATTATGACATATAGCGCTACTCTATAATATTTCATAGTTGAGGATTGTGAATATGCTAATAATAAATTCAGAATTCTATGTAGAAAGTGTGTACCACATTTATCCTGCAATAAACCCATGCCTGGTAATAAGCCCACCCATGTATATTCTGCACTTAGTAGAAATGTCAACAAATGTTATTTCATTGTCTTGTAATGAGCACCTTCAACTTGAGTCAAGAGAATAATGTTGGCACCATGGGCTTACTGCAGGATAAATACAGGCATTTCACGATCAGTGTTCACAAGGAAAGAAAGAGACAGATCAGTTCGATGAGTCAGAAGCGAATAGTTTGTCCTAGTTTCGTCAGCTGTACACAGTAGACATTTATGACTTAGGTGGAATAGCTGTCCTCTTTTATCAACGGGCTTGATCTATGTATTAGTTGTGTATTTCAGACAGTATCTAAAAATACATCCTTGGTGATTTGTTGTAAGCCATGCAAAAATGTTGGGTCTCAGAACTTGATTTGATGCAATCATAGCTTTAGGTTAAGTAGGTTAAACTTGATTTCTATCCATGTTACAAGGTGGCTAGATTAGTTACTGTTAATAGCTATAGTTGACTTAAATTTTTGCAATATATGTAAATATTGGGTAAAAAATTCTGGCTGTGTATTATGTAAAAGTCAGGTATATATTTTACCTGTCTCCTGCAAATATAAAAACACAGGTGTAAATTTTACCTGTCTCCTGCACCTGTAAAGAGTCCGATATAAATTTTACCTGTCTCCTGCACATGTAAAAAGATAGGTATAAATTTTACCTGTCTCCTGCACATGTAAAAAGACAGGTATACATTTTACCTGTCTCCTGCATATGTAAAAAGACAGGTGTAAATTTTACCTGTCTCCTGCACATGTAAAACGACAGGTATACATTTTACCTGTCTCCTGCACATGTAAAAAGTCAGGTATATATTTTACCTGTCTCCTGCAAATGTAAAAAGTCAGGTATACATTTTACCTGTCTCCTGCACATGTAAAAAGTCAGGTATATATTTACCTGTCTCCTGCAAATGTAAAAAGTCAGGTATACATTTTACCTGTCTCCTGCACATGTAAAAAGACAGGTGTAAATTTTACCTGTCTCCTGCACATGTAAAACAACAGGTATACATTTTACCTGTCTCCTGCACATGTAAAAAGTCAGGTATATATTTTACCTGTCTCTTGCAAATGTAAAAAGTCAGGTATACATTTTACCTGTCTTCTGCACATGTAAAAAGACAGGTGTAAATTTTACCTGTCTCCTGCACATGTAAAAAGACAGGTATACATTTTACCTGTCTCCTGCATATGTAAAAAGACAGGTGTAAATTTTACCTGTCTCCTGCACATGTAAAAAGACAGGTATACATTTTACCTGTCTCCTGCACATGTAAAAAGACAGGTATAAATTTTACCTGTCTCCTGCACATGTAAAAAGTCAGGTATAAATTTTACCTGTCTCCTGCACATGTAAAAAGACAGGTGTACATTTTACCTGTCTCCTGCACATGAAAAAAGTCAGGTATAAATTTTACCTGTCTAATTCACTTGTAAAAAGCCAGGTGTTAATTTCCACTGTCTCTTGCACTTGTAAAAATTCAGGTGTAAACTACCTGTGTCTTGTGTATGTAAAAGTCAGGTTTATATTTTATCTGTGTCCTGCACTTGTAAAAGGTGAGGTGTAAATAATCCATGTAACCTGTATATAATTGATAGATGCAAAATTTGTCTGTGTACTGTTTTTATGTAGACAAGGCTGAAAATTATTAAATAGGTATAGTATTTATTGAACACTGTCATTTCTGTCTATAAGAACACCCTGTTATGGTGGAATTGTATAGCAATTAATAAGACTACATTTGAATGGTGCTTGTAACTCCATGGATAATTAAATTATTCTCTCGTTTAAAATGTACTGGTGGAATGGTAGGTCGAATTTGTAGTGCAAGCAAGATGGATAGGCTGAAGACTCCATGTAGCCGCCAGCTATAGAACCCCATGTGCTAACGCTGGCATTGATTTTTAGCTCAATACTGTAACACTGACACTGTAGTGTGGTTGAAAATTGAAAAACAATTTGAAAGAATCCATTCCATTTGTTTCGCTAATTATTAGAATTAAACCGATGATAATTGTTGCTGTCTATTGTTTTTGCAGATTGAGGGATTACCGATAGATACATATATATAGTTGACCTGGTTTTCCGTTGGATTTACCGTACCAAAGGCTTACATCTCAATTGTCAACATGAGCTGCTGTTCCGGAATAGCCAGGGCGCTGCTCATCATCTTCAACATTGTCTTCTGGGTAAATACCACACTGTACACTAATCGATGGCACAGATACATGCATGCTCTATACTTAATGGTGTATGCTACCTTATGTTCAATAGAATCTCCTTCACAGGAGAGCTCCACTCAAAGATGCCAACATTGTTAACATTCCGTTAAGGATCCCCATAAACTGTAACTAAGTGTTGGAAACCTTTTTTTGTCCGGCATGACTATATCTTTGATAAATCATTTCTGAAAGAAAGCCTTACTTATTAGAAGTAATAAAGATAAAATGAACAAAATATAATCAATAACAATGTTATGACAGAAAAAAAAATCAGTGGGGCTAGGCCACGATTCGAACACTGAACTCCAGATTGTTATACTGTTGCTCTAACCAATTGGGCTTCAACCTGGTCTTAGGGAGTGATCTGGCCTAATTGTGCTACAGTTATATATCCAAATGAAAGTTAAAGGGAGGTTACTGTATTTACGAGAGAAAAAAACTGCAGGGCAGTGGGACAGGGATCCTTAAAATTGTTTAAAGGGAAATCGCTTTTGACACGAATCACAGATATGTAAGGTAGAAGGTAGTCATAATATAGCGTAAGATTTATAGTGGGAACAACGCTAAAAATTAGAAAACCACTAAAATATGTATGCTTACAGTTTTGTATTTGTGAAAGAAGTAATTATATAATCACATACATATAGACATATATATAAGTAAGGTAGGGTGGGTTTATGTGTGAGAGAAGGGTGTAAGAAACATGTTCGAATTAGCACTAATTTTGTCCAGATTAGAGTTAGGATAGTTGTGGATAACATCTGAAGGTTTAGTGGGTGTTTATCAGGTCTCCCACTACAGGGAGCTAGAGCCTTGTACCTAGTAACCCGTGGACAGCCTTACTAATGATTCCCGGAACAGTTGTTCGTAAAGCATCAGTAGCTATATACGTATAATCCTCGCTCTCGACACCCAAAAAGTATTGGTGTGTTGGAGCTCAATAATTCATCAGGATGAAGCTGTTGTGTAGAGGACTCCACAGATTTCAGTATAGACTTGAGGTCCTGGAAATTTGGTTTAGAGGATGATAAAATTACATGTGAACTGATCTACAAAGCTGTATAACCCTAGCTCCCTCAACCTAGAAAAATACAAAAAGGAAAACCTTACACTTTATAAGTCTACATTAAATGTTAATGACTTCAGTGAGCTGTTCAGATATTTTTGGTTACTGCCTATTTGATAGTTGTCAATCCATTCTTTATGGCTTTTTAGACCACCATCTGATGATGGTTAAGTCAAATCATCCTTTGGCTGTTGTCTGTCCGTCCTTTAACAATTTTCGTAAGTGCTCTAACTCAGAAAGTGCAAAGGCATCTTTCTCAAATTTCACATGAAGGTTTCCATATCAAATTTTGGAACTGATTGGATAACCAAGATGGCCGACTGCCAGCCATTTTGAATTTTGAGAGTTTAAATTTGTTAGTGCTATTTCTTTAGAAGTGCTGAAGAGGGATCTTTCTTTCAAATTTCACATGAAGGTTTACCTGAGTCCCTAGTTAGGCATATTCAATTTTGTTAATGATTGGATAATGTTTTTGGAAAATTATTGATGGTTCCTAACATGCAAATTATCAGCTCTATTTGTAATGGTTTGCTCCTCTTTGTAGACTTACAGCTTACTGCATGTCACTGGGTGTAAGTCCATGCCTGGGGATAAGCCCATCCCCCCTATTATACACATTTCTGCAGAATAATCCCAAATTGGTATATAAGAACACACCCTACTTGTCTTGTCTTTTCATCGCATTGACCACCAAGACTTATCCCTAGTGAAGTACACAGTGAGGATAAACAAATTTTCTCACCAGTTGGTACGTAATGACTGTACGATGTGGTCGTGCGGAAAGTCGTCTGACCAGTTATACAGGGAGGCTATGTCGGTCCATTGTCTCTCCCTATACATGTATGGCTACATCAATAAGTTATTGTGTACATTCTGAATACAAATGATGTATTAAATCAATTGTTATGGTCACTGTAGATTGTCTGCAGACCCCAAAAAAAGATCCTATGGCCTGATCAAAATTTCTTTACAGTCTCAGACATCTTGTTGAAAAGATTTGGGTATTTGGCCCAATAAGATTTGACACATGAAAAGACAGCTTTCCATTTCTTTAGCTACTGTTAACACGAGTTTGTATTTGTAAGGCGAGTTGATTTAGGGGTGTGTTTTCTTCTGTGAGAGCACATCTTTGTTCTTAAGTGTATTTGTCAGGTTAATAATAATAAAAAAAAAAGAAAACTGTAATGGTACTTATTCTATTAGATAAATAAATGATGCTGGAACTTTAATTTCATAAATTTTTCAATGGAATTTGGGTATGTTTCTTTTTCAATTTTCTAAATTTCTAAATGTATTATTACTGTTGTATCACCTGCCTTTTATCACAGGTATGCAAAAAAAGAAAGATTTATACAAAAAGAGAACATAGATTATTTTAGGTTTTTCCAGTACTGAGGGTCAAATTTTCACAAAACTTGAGGAACTTGAGTGTGATCTTCTTACTTTACACAGTTATATACAGTTATAGCCAAAAAATTCCTTCTTCCATAAAAGAATATAATTTAAGAATTCTCCAGTATAGTGTAAAATTTCAAAAGCTCAAGGAATTTTAAGTGTGCTCATTCCTAAATTACACAGGAATGTTTTAGATACTTGATTACAGCTTTAAAAAACGCAGTCCTTCTTTTATTAAGAAAAAGAGAACAAGGAGTATTTCAGGTTTTTCCAGTACATTGTGAAATTTTTGCAACTCTAGAATGGAAAAGAGGATAAAGAATATTGTAGGTTTCTACAGGATCTTTTACTAAATTACACAGGAATGTTGTAGATACTTACTTATAGTTGTAACAAAAATAGTCCTGCCTTTATCAGAAAAAGAGAACAAAAAATATTTTAGTTGTCCTCAGGAACTTGAGTGTGATCTTTCCTTATAATTACACAGGAATGTTTTAGATAGCTGCTGCTAGAAGTGTTCATCATGGATGTGACACCTTTCGGTTCACACAGAGCCTTTGGTGGAACGCCATCAGTACTCGACACCGTTCATTACTCTCCCCAGATATAGCGTAAAGGTCATTTGGAACTGTACATCAATAAGATCCCTGACAGGAAGGCTGTCTCCTATCTTCCTAGATCTGTCATTGGCACATACCAGTAACATTGGCACATCCCGAACCACAGGAAATCCAGGGGCAGTATTTAAAACCATACATTAATTCCTTGATTTTTTTTCTGCTGATGAAAGAGAGGTTATTCGGAAGTCGAACACCAAACTTGACCTAATGTCATTTTTTGCTGATGCATAAACATAGAAAGGTTATTTGGAAACCAGAGTGCAAAAAAGAACTAATTTCATTTTTTTGTTTATGGTACAAGGGTTATTTTGAAAGCAGGGCACAACATAAACCTAGTGTCATTTTTTGCTGGTGTAACAAGATAGTTTGGAAGAAGAGCACAAAAAACCTAACATCACCCGTGTTTTTTCCTCCACCATTAGAATGATACTGGCAGGTCTATGTTGCTGTGTGTTGGTATTTGGGGGTGGTTGATATGTATGTAAACATGGATGCCACACTGTATATAGTTCACCTTCCAGTTAGCGACAGTATGTAAACAAACAGGTCTATATCAGTATACCTCCAGCTCAGGCTAATTAAGTGTGCTCTGTGTACTTCAGCCTCACAGTAGTACCCTTAATACTGGTTGTCTGCTTTTAGCTCATTACCACTGTCTTTCCCACTTATGTTTGGTTTCCATTTATCAATCCAGTCTTCAGCATTTGTATTGCATTGCTCTGTGATGAGAAATCCAGAGTCATCCAATGGGCCTTTTCATGAACTGGATCCTTGCAAATATTGATGGGTTTTTCTGAATACTGAGTAGGAAAATAAGTAATTTTTAGAGTAATTGTGTCTCCTTTCATGAACTGGATCCTTGCAAGTATTATTGGCATTTGAACAACAATTATGAAAAAAAGTATTTGCAAAAGACAAGAAATTCATTGAATAACAAATGATTGTACAGTGGTTAACGTTTCTTACATTAGAGTGACACCTGTCAAAACTGACTTCTGACTATTCCAACATAATGTCTTACCTAACGTACTTCTGTAAGATCTATAACAAATAGCTTTAAATAACCTGTATTATCTGTCAGCCTGTCTAATTGGACCAATATGTGGTGGCTTGCAGGGTGTTGGATGAGACAGTTTAAGTTGATTGGTAGTTTAATTTTGTTCCACTTACATGGTGTCTTATCAGGTTAATTGGTTGCACTATGGCACACAGGATGTCCGATTAGAAAGGTGAAGTTATTCAGTGTCATACAGGGTGTCAGATTAGACAGGTGAAGTTATTCAGTGTCCCACAGGGTGTCAGATTAGACAGGTGAAGTATTCAGTGTCCCACATGGTGTCAGATTAGACAGGTGAAGTATTCAGTGTCCCACAGGGTGTCAGATTAGACAGGTATGTACATTGTAGTTCATAACATGCTTTATAAGTTCAGGTTTGAAAATTCTCAAAATGTCAGAAAACAAAGTTTGAGTAAAACAACCGGCCTTTAGTCTGTGATCAGCTCCCCCTGGTGGCTGTAAAGATGAGGTAACTAAGTTACACTGGCAGGTTTGGCTGCGGATCGAGCTTTCACATGTCTATATACCTTTGACCTTTGATCCGACACAATTGTTGGAAGGTGTTACATCATTGATCTGTGTCTGTCTGATGCTTGCCCAGTTTGCTTAAGACATGCATGCATTCATATCTTTGTGTGAATGTGGCCCTCGAGTCCAAAATGCATTACATAGAACACAATAGCACTAAACGTAAAGGTTAACCAAAACTGTCAGTAATCCAGACAGAAATTCCTAGATTTAGATAATCTGGACAATTTTTTTTCAGTGATATTTAGTCTGTACATGTCCTATAGCTTAATATGAAATAACAAGCCCCAGGGACCTCTTG